ATATCTTCTGGGTTGTTGTGGCTTATTCTGGGTAGGCTGAGGTCTGTTTTTTGCTCGGCACATTTTCCCCCAGTGGTTTGGCTTGCCGCATGCATTGCAATTAGATCCATATGCTGGGCATTTGGCCCTGTCACCAAACTCGTGTGTGTTACCACAATATCTACAGCTCTTTGTACTCTGTTTGTACGTCTTGTACATGTGGGGTTGCTTCTGTTTGGACCCTGCCTGGTATGTCTTCTTTGAGACTACATCTACCCTATTACTGCTAGACGTGCCTGTCTGCATGGATAGAGAGGACATCTGTTTCTGGGTCGCTTCAAAGGCCCTGGCTGTGTCCATGGCGTCCTTCAGTGTCAGGTCAGGTTTCCCCTACCGAGGGTTTTCGTTGTACTTTCTTATGTATGCAGCCCCACGATCAGTTGGTCAACTAATCTGTCCTTTATTTCTGCATCGTCTTTGAATTTGCATTTCTTTGCTACGTTTTTCAATCTTGCTACGTAGTCATCAATGGGCTCGTCGGGCTTCTGTTGTATGCCCTGGAATTCATACCGATAGATCCTATGGTTTGTTTTGGGCTCCAAATGTGTTTCAAACTTCTCTAGGATTTTGTCTGGCTTCTTAGCGTCTCCCGCGTCTTCTCCCGTGAATTCCCAGCTGTTAAATAAGTCGAGACCTTGGGATCCAACCCACAACAGAATGTAGCTCACCTGTTGCTCTGGTTCTGTGTCTTTCAGGAAGCTCTTGAAGGCCAGTTCTGTTTTCTGCTTGAATTTCTTGTACTCTTCTACTAGGTCATCGGCATCCCAGTTCATGGAGGGGTGGAGGTGTCCGTTTGCTGCTGCCATCCTGGGTCTGTTTTTCCGAGGAATGCCCTGGCACAGTCTTCTCTCTTCCTCTCCCTCTTAACAATGGTTTACCGCTGCCACCATGTTGTGCGTTCTTGTCTATGATAGCCATCCATAGACAAGAACGCACAACAATCCCCAAAATCTTAGTGCATGTTTCCAACATCCCAAGCAGATGTACGATTCTACTCAGTTTTTTGCATTTTTGTATGTGTAAAATCAAGGACATTATATGTATAATGTCCTTGATGTAATGTAATATGTCTTGCTATTGGAGCATGGAGGTAGAAAAATCACACCATGATTGGAAGGAAGGAAAGAGATAAAAGTTTGGACCACCAAAGTTGAAAATGCCTCAAACACATGTTCAAAACACTGACTGTATGGAACCCTACATTTGCTTGGAGATGTTTTTACTTCCATGGTGAGTGGAACCCTACATCTGCTTGGAGATTAGTGTTGTACTACCATACTGAGTAGAACCCTACATCTGCTTGGAGATGAGTGTTTTAACTATACAAAGTTCAGTTATCTGAGACATAGTGTTTCCTTCCTGACGTTGACAGGAGGATGAAGTGTACAGGCTGGTTGACCTGTGGCAGGAGAGCTGCAGGGTCAGAGCCAAGGTGGACCAGCTACAGGAGCAGAGACAGGCCCTGGCAAGTCAGGCCAAAAGTTTGGCCAAAAGTCAACCCAACAGTGATGAATTTAAGGACATGCAAGTAAAAGGACGCCAGGTAAATATGATACATGTAGTTCGTTATCATCATCACCAGTCCCATAGCATAAGCCATTGGGATAATCAGATGTCATACATAGTCTCCAAGCAAATCCTAGGGTGGCCAAAGACGTTGGTCAGGTAGGTAGTATCCATTTGCCAGAGAGGGTCTAAAGGCTAATGGCAATGCCTGGTCAACTTTGTACTGTTTTTGGCCACCCTAGAATCTGCTTGGAGATTACTAGTAAGTCTACCAAGTCAAAAGTGCTTCACCTCTGGCAGCATTTTGTGCTTAAATGTTATTGGACTTGCTGTCAGACTATAGTATAATGCCTGGATGGCATTTGTACTTTCGTTCAACACAATCAGACCATTGCTCACCTCAAATATTCAGTCACTATATGTTGCTATTAATGTATGACTATTAATTATGAGCCAGCGATGTTGCTGAAAATCATAGGTTGATAAAAGGTGTTTGTTAACTACAATCACAATAAAGAATTCATGACTGCATTCACCTCCATTTAGCTCCGACAGGAATTTAACGAATCCAGCCATACTGAGACTGAGCTGAACAGTCAGCTGTACGACATTCTACTCAGGCTACCTAACAGGTTGGGACAGTACAATTCTTTTTGGTTTTCGTCAAAGCAATTTAGGAATTGTGTTCGAATTGCTTGTACCCTAATGATTGATGAGTGGCATTGATGGCTAGATATTGTGTCCTTAGGAAAAGTAGTTAATACCACTATCCTCAATCTACCCAGGTTTAAATGAGTACCTGACTTTGGTTATATAGGTAACAGGCTGTGCAAGAAGAGGGGCTTTCAAGATACAATGGATTACAAATTACTTTCTGTTCAATGAAAAAACTAAAAAGTGTAACTATTGTAAGTACTAGTACTGACAGTGACATTGACTTAGTTTCACGGTCAGGTCATGTGATTAAGCACGTTGGCAGAACGTACTGTGCCTGCGCAGAACCCCGTATTTTCACGTTTTTCATTTTTTGGTCAACGTTGCATCAGAATTTTGCCTGTTGCAGAGGATATTCTTTCCGACATAACATTTGGAAACTACTGTCGAAATGCTAACCTTATATGAGCGAATACGACCTTATATGAGACATTCTGCCGAAATGCTATGTACAATAGCATTACGGGTTTCGCGCAGGTGCAGTACGATCTGCCGACGTGCTATGTGATTATAGCCTAGAATCCAGCCTTGTTAGCCTTAGTCCACTCCCCAAGATCTGTTACCCCATTGGCTGGACTCCAGGATAATGTGATTACTGTAACCAATGAAAATGTACCTGTGTCCCAGCTGCCATCCCTCCACCCCTGTGGGTGACGAATCACAGGCCAGGTTAGTGGAGATGGTTGGAGAGAAGCCGTCCTTCACGTTTGTACCCAGAGGCCACCTGGAGCTGGCAGAGCGGCTGAACATTCTGCAGCTGCGACACCTGGCCAATGTGTCAGGCCACAGGTGGGGTCTCTGGGTTTCATACTCATTACCTGAATTGACATTTACCAGTGTCATAGGAGCATTATTACCCAAGTGTCTATGATAAATAACCAAATGATGACTTATCTTGCAGGTCCTACTATCTAAAAGGTGCAGGAGCGCAGCTACAGCATGCCCTGGTACAGTTCACCCAGGACAGACTGTACCAGCAGGGTTTCACCCCTCTGGTGGTACCAGACTTCTTCTACCCTGCTATACTGGAGGGCTGCGGTATGATGAAGGCTGGAGCATTTGACACTCAGATCTACACCTTAGACTCCAGCAAACACGAGGGGCTGTGTCTGGCGGGAACGGCGGAGGTCGGGATCGCGGGGATGTACAAGGACCACGTGCTGCGGGCGGACCAGCTGCCGCAGAAGGCGTTCGCAGTCAGCACATGTTACAGAGCAGAGACCTGGAGTGGGAGCGAGCCATACGGCATCTACAGAGTCCACCATTTCACAAAGGTACATGTACTAGTTTTAAACTCATTGATATTATTATTGTATACATGTAGTAGTACATGTGCTTCATTTGTTGTTTTAATTTATTGTATTACAATGTACTAGTATTACTGGGTAATAGTGTGTTTTTATCAAATTACTTTTTTTTTTTATAAATCATTCTTTTTATTGTTTCCAAAATTCACACAAAAGAAAGCATGGCACAACGAAACAAAATGAAACCACATGTATCAAATTACTTTAAATATAGCTGTCATTAACTTAAATTCATTCTGCCATAAATGTTAAAAATGTAAATTGTATAAGACATACTGGTAATTTAGCTAATAGCTTCAAGTTCTTGTTTGTTTTTCTAATTATAGACCATTTGATTGATGGGTTATTTAATGCATTATTTCTGCATTTTTTGTATACCATAGCTTAGCTTAGTGTTGGTTATACATGTATTGAAATGTCTGGGACCTGTTGATTATCTGATGTTTTTATTGCATTCTTCAACAGATAGAGATGTTTGGAGTAACTGCCAATGACCACGGCACCGAAAGTGAGCGAATGCAGCAGGAGTTTGTGTCCCTACAGAAGGACCTGTACTCAGAACTGGGCCTGTGTTTCCACATCCTGGACATGCCGACGCAGGAACTCGGTCTCTCTGCACACAGGAAGTACGATGTGGAAGTGTGGATGCCTGGGAGGGATTCATTCGGCGAGGTGTCCAGCGCATCAAACTGTACTGACTACCAGAGTAAGAGGCTGCACATACGGTACGAAACAGACCAGGAGGACCCGAAATACGCACATACGGTCAACGCCACGGCGTGTGCCGTTCCACGACTGATAGTCGCAATACTAGAGAACTTCCAACAAGAGGATGGGTCTGTGGTGGTGCCCCAGGCTCTACAACCGTACATGGGAGGGAGAAAGGTTATAACTGCCCTGGATGGGTTACCTATGAAGTACATGGGCAGGGAAAGGAGGATGTTTAAACAACATCAGAAAAAGTTTTCTAAGTACCGGTAATAAAAAGACTTGTATGTCCCATTATTTGCTATTTTGGAGGTCAGTGCAATTTTAGAAATTTTGTTTGAATGATCTGGAAAAGTCTGGAAGATCACAAGAGGATTTACATGTATGCTGCTTGGTAACTTGGGAAACTGTGATGATTTAGTATAACTGTTCAGAAAAAATGACTGTCTTCTTTAGGTAGGTGAACTGATATGCCAAGATCAGTTGGATCAATCATACCATTGTGAAATATATTCTTATCATCATTCCAGGTCAACTAAATACTGTATTATGTATCCTCTCATGTACCCAGTATAAACAAAATATTATGGGTTTTACATAATAATGTACTTTGATAGAGCATTTCCCTCAGTAGTGTGCTTGGACATGTAAGCTATAGATATAGATATAGGCAATCCCACAAGATTATATTGTCATAACAAGGAGGTTAAATGTATTTAACCTCCTTAGTTATAATGATAAACTAATTATTATAACACCTATGGAGACTCAGCATGCAATGGTGGCAGGTACAATGTAGAACAAGCCTTTATTTAACCCATACTGGCACATGGAAAAGAAATTTACAGGAAATATCATCACATGCTCTCAGTACAAAACAGAACATCATTTGATACAGATGTGAACAGTAGTAACTGTCATACACAAGTATGTGTCCAGTAAGTGTCATAACACACCTGTCATCATTTGTACCATCTTACTACTGCACATCAAGACAATATATTCACCACTGGCTAATCCATTAAGTTAAACATGATCTGCCAAAATCTTTCAATTAAAGATTTTCTACAATGAAAGTACATTCCAGTATGTCACAGTCTATCTGAGCTACAGTCAAGCACTTTATTTGCATCTTGGATACATGAATACTAAACTACACAAGCTACTTCACCACTGTACTGTGTGAAGTTCTATAACCTTCTAGGACTTTCTTATTTAAGAAATCATAAAATTGCAATGGTAAAAGAATAGCCATGGCACATCCTTAACCTGTGACACAATTATTTAACCTAAAAGCATTTTATGCTTCAATACTCTACACAATAAAAAGTATACTTAAATGCTGGTGACATACATGTAAAATAGATTTTTCCATTTCAGAACATTTAGCTCCAAGTTAGATAATAAAAAAACTGATGATAGTAGAAATAGTAAATAATGTTGCCATGACTAAACAATGTGCTCTGCATAGCACTAGCTCTCATTATATTACCCCCAATGGTGATACACAACAGTTCAACTGTAGCAAAAATTGTACAGCCAGACACATCAAAAGTGCAAGCCTTGTAAAAGTCCAGGAACACCACATTTATCCTGCACGAGTACTCAAAAGATTTCTGATACCTCACACCTCAGTATTTTCCATTTAGGGCATTATCAATCATATTACAATGGACTTTGTTTCAATCTAAACAATTACTAGTACATATACTGGACTTGCATGATTCTGGTGAAATGCTACCCATGCCTAAATCAGGTTTGTACCTTTCTGATGAGAGAATACGTTGCCTAAAATCCAAGGAAAAATAGGTAAAGGCTTTTATTTAGGTTGTCTGATAGGTGTGCTTTGATTCTTACAGATGTGCTTTCACAAATATCCCGTGTACTTACTAGCAGTCCATTTACAACAAATAGTACTATGATGACGTAAGATACATGTATCAATATCATCACACATAACAAACCCCATACAGATTCACCAATTTGTATCATGGGCACAACATCTTTACATGTATCGTACACAATGGTCTATTGTTTAAATTGTTACCAAAACTAGATACTGTATGTAGACTTTACATACATGTTTAGAAACATTCAAAAATTTGCATACACCTAGAGCAGAGCCAAAAGTTGTTTACATGTACATCAATTTTTTTCAGTAACAAAATATTTGAAACTTCTAATTTGGAAAAAAAGAAACAATACAGGACTTACATGCAACAGTAATGTACAGATTACACAACAGTTGACAGTTTCACTTATACAGTAAGTAGAATTCACCTACTGAAAGTCACGTTAACACCTTCATGATTTTGAGCCCCAGGCTGAATTATTTTTAGAAACAATCATTACCACACCTAAAAACATTGCATTGTGATCCAGAAATGTTAGATATGCCACATCAACAGACTTTCCCTCCAGTGAACATTGTTTGTTTACTCGGAGAAGGTTGTAAACATGGACAGGTCACCAAAGTCCTCGTTGTTGTAGTTGCTGCCGGTCGGGGGCTGGTCTAACATGGTCAACATGTCAGGGAACATCTCCTGGGGCTGTTGAGGGGGGTGCTCGCTGGTGCCAGACTGTGCCGAGGCCCCCTGCGGCCACTGTGCAGCCCATGGACCCAGGCTACCTGGGGGGACGCCATCTGCAAATGGGAGACGCCAGGTTTTTAGTACAGGGGCTGAACTATGTCCTACAAATTTGTAAGTGTAGAAATTATGATATCCTGTCATGTACATCACTTTCTGTATCTGTATAGCCGGTATAACTGCCCTTTGGCTTAACACACCAGCTTCACAGGCATGCATTGAACAACTTGTTGCACCTAACCTTTGTTGCATCTAACCTTTGAACATCTAACATTGTTTAAAGCTATCTAATGATAATTCCCCTACTGTACTTGGTGACAGCGAGTTGCACTCTGCGATTGTTCTATGAAAGAACAAGTTTTTGAACACCTCAATCCTTGGTAGGCATGACTGTTTCCTGTTCTTTTCTGAGCCAGTATTAGGAACTTAGTAGATGATTTGAAACACAGGCGCATGACAAAAGAGCACTTTTGCTGTACCTTTTTCTCCCTGGTATCCTGGGTAGACCCTCTGTGAGGAGTTGAGCTGGGTGTAGGTGGGTCCCGGGGATGTTGCTGTGGGGCTGTAGCTGACAGCTGGGGACACCGTGGGTGGGTAGCCAGCTGCAGCCCCAGATGCCATGGTGGTGAAGGTGGGGGACTGGGGTTTACTGTTGCGAGAGTTGGATGTCTGCAAACCGAGGAAAGTCCATGAAACACCATGGTGAAGAAAATGAGGCAAACTTCACGACCTCAATGAAAAGTGGTTTATATGCCGATTTGAGCTTTCATGAGTGAAGAATGGTTCAACCAAAAAAATATGGCAAGAGTGAGTTATAACAACTGCCTTAAAATCTGAAAGGCAATAAAACGAATCTGTACCTATACATGAAATAAAGATGTAGAATATCTATATCTCATAAAATTTTTGTACAATTGAAAAAGTATAACTTGCCAGTACTATCTGTGTCTTACATATAAACAATACCTTGCAAAAGTTAATGCATAGACTGTAACTGACCACAATATACCTCTTGTAGACACTTGGTACCCTTACCTGATTGGCAAACGGAGGAGATGACCAAGTGGCTGGTTTGGGCCCCTGTCGTCGACGGACCATCTCAGCCAGTCGCCCCTCCAGCTGATACCATGCTCTGTTGGACAGACCCAGGACCATATGCCTGCAATAGACGTCATAATGTTAGAGTGTGTCATATCTTTGTGTCTCTTTCCAGTCCATAGTTATAAGCTGTGAGAAGAAAAATATTTTTTCCAAAAGAAAAAACCTTCAAAGAAAAACTTTTTTCTGGTGCTCATTTTCGTACTTAAATCAGAAGTCTGTTGAACGAATTAAATTTTCCTGATGAATCAAATTTCTGGCAAGCCCAATTCTCAAACATGTATGGAAGAGTCACCTTACTAATGTTTAGCTTTCATGTTTGTGACACTTCATAACACTGGACTGGAGGAGAACACTGTGGGGTACGTTATGAAAAGTGCTGCCTGACCAAACAATTGTTAATGAAAGGAATCAAGATGATAAAGATAGAATTGAAAGTTAATATACTATAGTAACGAATGAACAAATAAGTGAACAATAGTAATAATACAGATTGAAGCCACCTTCAGTGATACAAATCAGAACAAGTAATCAAGTTCAGTAACAACGAGGATAAAAACTGTTAAGAAATAATGGGTCAATATGAGTCAAAGAAAGAATACGGTCCAATGTAAAGGTAACTAACTTCAAACAAAACATATCTGAAGAAGTCAGGCTCATAGCAAGTGAGGAGTTGCCTTACAATGCAAGTGCTGTTTTACTGCGAATGTTACTGTTTGACGAGGGAATACATTTTGTAGTTAGGTACACTTTGTCCTACTATTTCGTAGGCTTTTTTATTTCTTAAGACAGGAATCAAAATCACAATGTGAGACTACTCCTCAGGGTTATGCAAAGTCTTCTCCCTTCTCCTGTCTTTAAGATCTGAAAATGTCCGTGGCCTGGCAGCAGCGTAATGATCGTGACGCTGCGTCACAGCTTTGTCGTCTGTTTCCACTCATTCACCCACCTGGGGCGATCTCTGCGCCGTGAAGGCGGCGGCTCGGAAGGACCCACTCACCGGAGGCGAGGCCAGCGGCTTGTTGGGGTCCTGTACGCCGGGGGACGGCATCATGTAGTTCCCCGTGGCCTGGTACGCCTCGCGGTTGTCTGGGTAACCAGATAAGTCCTTCGCCTTGTCATCCTGGTCCATACCTAGTAGGGATTGTCAGTGTAACAGGGTTTGAAGCCAATGCCTACCAAATCATATTTGATACACATAGACATTTTCGTAGTGTGAGTACTGTAACTGTAAATCACTTAATATTCAGGGTAGCAACATTTCATGCAGGACCATATGTCCATGGTGGTGGCAGGTGCAGAAGAAAAAAAGTCGGCGAATTATTATTTTGTTTGTAGCAATGATAAATTCGTGGTACAGAAGTAAGAATATACCGGTAAGAATGTAAGTACTGCAAAATAATCATGATTTACAGTAATTCAAACCTAACAGCCTGCTCTTATCCAACTTAACATACAAAAACTGGTGTGTGACATGTTTAAGCAGTTAACCAGTTAAGTGAACAAACCAACAAACCTTGTACAGTCTGTACTTGTGTGGGGTCGAACTGTGCAGAGGTGAGTGCAGGCATGCCCTTCCCCTCCATGGCTCGTAGTCTGTCCATCTCCTGCTGCTGCTGCTGCTGTTGGAGGTTCCTGAACAAGCAGGGAAATCAGGAAATCATACAAACTCAAGCTGTATAAAGGGTTATAGGCCTTTAGATGAAGCTGGAGGTCCAGTGAAATGGACCCTCAGATGAGGTCCAGTGTTTGAGAAAAGCCACGCCTCAAGGACAATAAAGAGCCCACCATACACAATGATTGTGCAGCATTGATAAGACAAGGCATAGGAACTGATCAAAGCTAACAGTCCAGTCTTATATATAGTATGTAGTTTGCGCTAACTAAACAAAACTGGAGTATTACACTAGTGGCAATTGTAGCAAATCTTAGCCACTAATTTCGATGACACTGTGAAGTATAGTACTTTAGAACCTCTATAGTATACTACTGTAACAGTATACTGCTCATTGTACCCTTTATAAATACATGTATAGTATAGCGTACATTTGTAGCTCAGCACTTTGACTTGCCTTGACCTTAATTGCAATCCAAACAAATAAAGATACACAAAATTGATGTCTAACTGTAAAACCAGGGTGGTGCAGTACTTACTTGACTGAAGTGTTAGTGCACACGATGTACTCCACCTCATCAGTGTAGGGGTTCTGGAAGCTGAAGAGGCTTGTCCGCAGCCACACCCACTCCCCGTTCTTGGCCCGACAGCGGTACATCACCGACATCACCTGCCCCTTCATCTTAAGTACTGACAGGGCAACACACAGACAGTTAAGACTTCAATTAAGAAAGTAGAACCAGTCAAGTATAGACAAAAGATGTGACGGCTAACAGTGATGGAACACTGCTTCTGATGCCGAATATAACGCTTTTTACTTGTCACCTCTATCAGCTCTTACTGACTTTTAAAATTGGTTTATATATTAGACTTAAAATCTTTGACTTTTTGATATGTTGTACCTTCTCCTTGACTAATAGGATTTTACATGTACCTTGCTCGAAGCTCTCTTTCAAGTTGGGCTGGTCCTCGGGATGGTAGAAGTCGAAGCAGGTTTTCCCCAGCAGGTCCGTGGGCTGATATCCCAGGACAGGGATCACTCTGCACAAATGTACAGGAAATAAGACTCTAAACAGACTGCAGTTATCACAACACTGTGTGAGACAGTGCCTGTTTTAAAATTTGTCATTTTACTCAAACTACTGAAATGGAAATGTCATAAATTGCACACTCAGGAGTATTGCACAAGACCCTGCAATCAGACATCATTACCTCAGACTGATAAGTTTGTATACAAAATAACATAACACTGAATGTAAGTGCACTAGTCGTAGGGCATATCATACATTATTATACAGTCAAAACTGCCCAAGACCATTCAGGAGACAGAGAAAATCTAGCCGAGATCACCTGGATTTTATATACTTGGATCATTGGGACAAAATTTTTTAAGGTGGTCCTTATATACAGGTGGTCCCTTGTATAGGTTTGACTGTATGTTACATGCAGACTATAGCTGAGATGAGAAGTACATGTGACTGTATACTATATGGCCAGAAAAAAAAGCTCACCTCTGGTCCACGAAGGTGAACTTGCCGTCCATGCTGTGTCGGGAGATGAACTCGGTGGGGGGTGAGGTGGTGTTGAGGTCGCTGCAGCTCGGGGAGCTGGTCACCTGCAGCCTGCCGATCGCCACCAGGCAGTAGTGGCTGTTGCCGTGGCCATCCGCGTCCGCATCCTGCTGTTCCAGCACCACACCTACAGGGGGCGCACCAGGAAATACAACTCTTCAGAACTTGTGACCATAGTAGTCTAGATACCCTAGCCGAGTATCAATACTATTCTAGCTCCGGTTGGCTCCTCTGATTGCTTCCCTGTTCAAAAGACAGGAAACTGCCCCCATCTAAATGTTGAATACCTTTTGGAACCAGTGTACATGATCAATTAGCTGGGATTGAACTTCTGAAAGCCTGTTTGTACCCAGGTCTGTTGTTACCATTATTGAGGATTGTGCAACTCAGAGCTAGTCAGAACTCTCGTGTGACAAATATTCAAATGCCTTCCAATGGGGGCCAGAATATTCAGCAGGGAAGCATACACAGGAGCGGCCTGCGGCTAGAATGGGATGGACACAAGGCTAATACACACTCCCGTTAGTATTAAGAAGCTTAATACTATCCTTTTGTCTTAGGGCAATGATGGACAGTAGACACCAGCAGCTGAGAGAACAGATTGTACTTTCCCAAAAAAGAGCTCAACAACAGACAACTGGACACAGAAATTAAAAGTACACATACCGGGTATGCATGAACAAACAGTGATGAAGTTTTGACAACTTTTTGCTTTATTTCAAGGTACACGTTTGCATGTAGTACTAGTGTACACACATGTATGATGATTGTTGCAGCTTCATAATGATATTGTACTTTGTATAACATATCTGGAATTTTGAAAGTAAGACTGACCAACAGCAAAAGCCAAGATAGCATATGTAGTACATGTTTAGAAGGGGAATCGTAGAAATGTTGAAGTCAACATGCTACATGTACAAAATGTATTACAGAATCTGATGTTAAACTGAGACATTAACATGGGCTCCCCATGCCAAAACGTGTATCCAATGAGTAGTAACATGTGTGCCAAAGCCACTCTGACAGTGACTGAACTGCTACAATTAGTATTATACATATCAGTGTACTGCAAACTAATGTCAAAGTAGCCTCTGCACATAATGATGCATGTGCATGTAACTAATATAAGAAATGGACGATCAAGTCTTTTGAATAAATCAAATGAACATCTTAGTGCTGTTGATAAATTGCAATGTCTGGCAATAAGGTCAACTATCCGAGACCTTACCTTACCAACTATCCGACATGATCAGCAAATTTTTCTTAGCAAAATGATTAAGTACAGTAACAGGGGAGTTACTTCCCATACCATATAGAAATGCAGCAGAGCAAACTTAAGGCAAATAAATAATTAAATATTATATTACTACAAAATGATGAACAACAAAGAGAGGAGTATGCAAAAAAATGAAAACAACGGGAAAGGAAGGCTAATCCAATATCCAACTCCTTTAGAAAAGAGGAACTCTAACTTGATTCAAAACAAGAGTGGTTCACTTTGATTCACTAGCAAGGGTACCTGATCCTTAGGCAGTATTGACAAGCACAACTACACACCAGAGCACAGGCACATATGTACACCAACTAAACCACCAAACAGAAGGGAAAATAAAGACTTAAAACACAGAGGACAGTATTCTTTTCACACTTGCAGGCCTTATTGTTGTCGATACATGTAGTGAAAATGTCTGCCTGATTGTAGACTCAAATCTCACAGCCAATGAGATTAATACTAAGACACTGACAGAGACAAATTTGGACGTGATGTGGGTCACGAAGTGCACTTGAGTTGATGCATGTATCCATGCATGATCACTTGATGCCCACATTATACATACCATCCAGCCAATACATTAATGCCCAACATGTCATTCAATATATCAATATATGCGTGCTTAAAACTACCACAATGCAAAAATGACATCTCTGTCCAGATAAACTTCTTCAATCTGCTCTGACCAATGCAAACCACCACGACTGAATGAAGCATGAATTATTCAAATAATTAACTGGCATGCAAAAACTTGCAATATCCCAATACATATACATTTGTACATCACATTCTTTTCTACTTGGAGCACCCATTTTACAAACATCAGCGCCGAGCTCATAAAGAAATGCATCCAAAGCAGAGTAGCTGTGAAGATTCATGCGAGGAGTTTTTTTTTTAAATAAAAACCTTGAAAAAAAAAAGACTTCTCAATCAAACCAATGGACGACAATGCCACATTACTTAAGAACCCGGATTTCCTTGCCACTAACGTACCTGCATTGACCAGCTTAGCGGCAAGTTTTCCTGGAGTCAAAAACAAGAATTACAGCATTGTTCAATCATTAGATCACAGCATGTCTGATTCAGATTTCAGTGATTTTGTGATCATGCATTCATCCATGCTTAAAATCACCAGCAGCCTGCACTACTTTGTGTGACGGGCATAGAAGTTTTTATCATGTCATCCCTGAACTAGAAACTTTAACATTCAAATCATGTCCTGAAGGCTTGAGGGAAAAATGTAATATGCAAGGAATGATTTAAAACATATAATGAGTAAGAAAGTATGAGGATAAAGAAATTAGTAAATGATGCCTATAAAAAAAGTAAACGAAAATTAAGAAAAGAATGCACTAGACTTTAAGCCTCCTTCATTAAGTTTAGCCCCTAATAATGGACACAGCAGATATGCCCTTTTCTACAATGTACCAATGAATGAATTGAGTTTAACATGAATCTAGAAATATCTGAGATCCTAGGACACTACCTTTTATGTTAAGTTCCTGATAAGATCTACATAAATATAAACCGTATAAATATAAATACATGTATAAGATCTACAAAAAAAGTAAATTGTCTTAAGCATGCTGATGATTTTGACAGAACCTTAAAGATGCCTCACAACTTTGCTATAAGCGACCTAAAGCTTTTCTAAAGCTTTTCCTACAGTGCGATTTAAAATATAATTGTCTTCACCTAGCATAATAGTCCTATCATAATGCCTCATTTCCTACATTTTAATTCTGCCTACTTTTCTTTAAAAAACTGCCCCATGCATGTAGAAAATACATATCATACCTATTACAAAAATGCTAACATTAAAAATAAAGGCAGAAATAAAATAGGCACAGACATACTAGTATCTGATTAGCTAAAGGTCTTTCTTTGCACTTCTCTGTCAAGAATTGAATTCAAATGAATATTAAATCTCAGTTAGATAGGGTGGTAGTAAGCAGCAGCATATAAACAGCAACATAACAAGAAACTACAGGCAATGATAGAGATGGTATCATGCTAGCTAAAATTCAGAAAGAATTTGTATACACTTGTACTTTTTTGGGACCCAATGGCAGATGACATCGAGCTATGCAATACCCTAGTAGATTGTGCATAAACCTACTGCCTTCTGGGAGACAAGTGCACGGGGCAACCAATAGCATTACCATAATGTTGTCCTCTGAATTACCCACAGTGCCCTGCATCTCCCAGAAGGCAATGGGGATTCTGTGAAAAGGTTTATGGGCCAACCACACCTAATATACATGTAACAAGTATCTACAACTTGACTGTAGTTTCCATCACTTTTTTGACTCATAAAAAAACAAAGCAGCAGTCTGTAAACAGACCTGAGTGTACATCTACAAAAATGTAGTAGTCCTTCCAGTACAAACTCAATTTTTGCTCTTCCTTTGTATTACTGAAACACTGGAATTAGAATTTTTCATGATTTAATTCACATACCTAGATGGAATAAGCATCTTGAAACTTTTGTAACATAAGAGGGTTTGTTGCAGACTGATACCTTGCCCCCCCTCCTGAAGTTTGTATTTGGTACAGTCCTACCTGTGGGCGGCCATGACTTGATGTACCCCGTGCAGTGTACCACGGCGTACTGCTCCCCGTCCTTCCCCGGCGGACCCAGCCCGTTCCGCTGCCGGATGTGGGCGAGCCGGGAATGCTGGGAAGGGTCCTGGATGGCGTTGCCAACCCGCATGCGACAGATGAAGCCACGTCGAGACCCCATGCACAGACGAATGGACGCTAAACAACAACGGGATGGGGAAAAACATTCACTTTGCTGGCTATGAAGAAGTCATATTCCTCATCCCTACAAGCATTTTAGTTTTGTTGGTCTTCTATACTTGTCTACTAGGAACTGTATCTATACGTGACAAATGAATCTCTTCAACGATATACTTGTCTAGTAATTAAGCTTTAATATACATGTGTTAACACAACTGTTACTTAAGAAGCAAAATTGACAAGGAGAAAATAAAGCACAATATGAAATTTTCACACAGCAGATAAAGAGCTCCAAGTAGACATAAAATAAAAATCAGTTTAAAATCATCAAACAGTATTAAAAAAATCCAAACTACAGTGTACTTACACTGGTGCCCTTCTTTCTTCACTGTTCCAGCTGTAAAAAAAGGATACATGTAAGTTTGAACTTTTAGGTGATTAGGTACCATTATGTTTCTGCATTCTGAGACCAGTTTTATTTGCATTTAGATGTGATATATCCTTGCATGTACATCTACATGTATGCCTCCAATAAAGCTGATTACTGTTCAGTACAGTATGGAGTTACATTTCAAAAACCCTTGCCTACGTGACCCATGCCTCCACTTTTGCTAATTACAGTTGTAACAGCACAGAAAGGGTCATATTCACATTGGACATGCAATGCACAGTGCTTCTGTTTCAAAGGCACTTCTCTCTCTCTCTTTTCTGCGAACAGTCTGATCGACGTGACCTGTGCCTCCAATATTGCTTATTACCAGTTGCAAAGGTACATCAGAAAAGGTCATACAATTCTTCTTTTTCAAAGGCCTCTCCCTAGAATCCTTCAAACACTTAAAATTGATACATGTGACCTATGCTTTCTTTCTTGCTAATCACTGTTGCAATGGTACAGTAGAAAAGGTCATATCTATGATGGGCACACAGTGCATACGAATGCCTTACTCTTGAGGTCCAGGATACGGCCCTGATTGGGGTTCTCTGCCGTGCTGAGCTGCTCACGGACCTTCTCCACATCATCAGGGTGGACAAGGTCGTACAAGGTCGAGCCAAACCAGTCCGACTGGAAATATAACAACCAAAATCATATATATCTGGGATACATCAAAAGAAATTTTCAAAAGTAATTAGTTACAAAGTGAGTGCTTATTACACTATGTCTCACCAGTTTGAAGTGCACTCTGTGGAAAAAAAATTATGTTTGTGTCTTTTGCAAACACTACTAAGTACATGTACTCCTTTCACAATTGATTACATAGATAAAATTTGTAACATCTACCATTATCTTCTGGAATAAAAGGAAGGTAGTCATTCAGACCGATTGTATGGAACCAATTTACCACTACATGCACTTGTACCTGTATGTTAAACATGTGTGTATATTGAATTGTGTATTACCCAGAAAACAGACGCTCACCTGTGATTGGTTGAGGACGGGCACCACAGAGTCTGATACGTAGATGATTCTACCCGTCTCACACGCTGACACAAACAGGAAACCATCCGCTGCCTGGAAAACACACAGAAATGACTCACAAGCCAAACCTCTCTCTGGCTGGCTTTTGCAGTTTTATCATGCACAAACACAAATGTAGTACTAGATATAGATTATAGCAACAAAAAGAAATAAGGAACACCTAATCTATCACTGTCAGCATTGCTGTAGCTTTAAAAGTTTACATCCTCCCAAGATTGTTAGGTATATCGGGCATTATGTCATACCTAGGAGCAATAACGTTCGATACGGTCGTTCCGGCCCGTGTGATAACTAGCGGTACGGCCCGGGGGTTCTGAATGCGTACGGCCCAGGGCTTCCAAATGTTCCATAGAACAATTTGAACGCGTTTCGCCCTAACGCGTGCGCCGCTTTTGAAAATTCGAATACAAAATTCGGACATTGGAATTGATGTTGTTGCATTTTGGGGTTTAGGGACACCAAATTTTTGCTCATTTCGCATTGAAAGGCGTGTTTCCTTGGGTGGGTATACGTATGACATAAATAAAATACAACACGGGGTATTCCGCATCACCCTCGGTCCCAGCCCTCGGCCGTCGGGTGATCCCACGCGCGGTCAGGCTGGTACCTCGGGCGATACGGAATACCCTGATTTGTATTCTATATGTACTCTACTAGTCTACTCACTAAGCTATTGCCTCTCCTTACCTCCAGTATAAGGTGTTTGAGCTCTTGGTCAGTGAGGAAGGAGGGTTTGTAGGTTCCCTCTGTACTGGTGTTACCTGTTCCTGGCAGAAACACACAACATAAAAAGTCACTGTTTTCAAGAACTTTCCCTGCACAACTTCAAGCAGGTCCTTTAATCTAGAAGTCAACAACAAAATGAAAAGTGGTAAAGAAAGACTTAGGGGAAAAAATTTTGTTCCCTGTTTCAGTCCTGAAATAATTAGGGCCGGTACAGGTTGGGATTATTTTGTGATCCAACTTATTTAACACTTACATGACTTGTATATATTTAATGTCAATATTGGAACACCGATTGTGTAACACTTCATCAACAAAGTGTCCGATCATGGAACTAGTAAAGGTTGAGCAGCTAAAAAAATTTATGCCCCTTGCTGGGGTCCACTCAAAAAACATCACACAAAAAAAGGCTAGGGTCAGCAGTTTTTTCTATTCATCTATACACATGTTGAACACCCTACTCACCTCTGAGGGACTTCATGTGTGACACAGCCATGCGCAGGATGGTCAGCTTGTCCGGTTTCCGTGCCAGGGCGCTGCACGTGGGCACCATGTCCGACAGCTCGGCGATGTACGCCGTCATCTTGTTGCGCCTGCGGCGCTCAATCTCGCTGTGGTTCTCTCTGGAAGAGACAAGCAAAAAGCTTCTTCCACTACAACGTAGGAGACAAAGGGTTGTCCTGTCTTCAGGTTTAGTTAGTGACTACATGTAACTACATGTACAGACAATGGTTTATTAGGACACCACAAAAAATTTGTTAGTATGGTAATGGACATGTTCTTTTTGTAGAAGGTAAGTCACAGCCTGCAGCATGTGAAGCTTTCATTTGACACTTATCCAAAGGTTGAACACTGACTGGTTGTATTACTTAATTCAATTGGGTGAGATCCTGGTCACATACTGGTATGTTATTACCACAAATTGAGATGTGTGGTACAAAATCCTTGTGGATGGTCGGTTATGTCATTGCCTTGCTGAAACTACAACCACAACAAATCATACAATGAACATGACCATATAAATATGTCCAATGTAAAGATGCAATATAGAAAGATCACATGCTAAGTGGTGACCACAGCAATGGGCAGTATACACTCCAGCACAATTAACAATCCCCCTGCTGCTTGCACCTATATTCAACAAAATATATACAGTATCTTGCTATTTACAATGTGTTTGGCCACAAACATGGTAAATGGAGGATCAGAAAGTGGTCATTCATCCTCTCTTGGCTGGAGTAACTTTAATAGAGTTATTAGACCTACTCATATCAGTGGCCTTCGATGTGGTCTGCTAAAATCACAATTGCACAATGATCCATGGGAACTGATCACTGTTGATACAATCCATGTTAACATCAGCGCATTGGTGGGACATTGCAAGTGACATTTTCAACATGTTGTAAAGTTACACATATGAACATTCCCTGAAATCAAAATGATACCATTGTGGTTAGAACATACACAAAACACATGCTTGTCAAATTCTATATCACCTTATCTTGTGCAGGATATAGCAATCCAAACATAAATCATGATAGATAGAGATTCCTGGAGAGCAGATGAAAGCTTTTGTGGACAGGTGCCAATCAAACTGTCAAAGATGGAAGGTAAGTACAGTGCAGAGCCTAGTAAGCATTGGAGATATACAGAAGCCTGCTAAGGGACAGGTCTACAGCTTGGAGCTTTAGCAAGATTAGGGTTGAGATGTGCTCTACATCTAAGTTATCATGTTACGTTTTGACTGAATTATGCAGAGTTTTGGCAAGCAAAATGAACGAGTTCACACAAGCAACAGAGTGAACGAAAGAAAAAGAAAAGGAGAAGAAAGAAAAGAGAACTGAAGAAGGGGCTGCTGCATGGCGCCCAAAGGTCTGACCCACCTTGCGAACCTTTCCTTATCGTTCTCGTCTTTCTCACAACCATCGCGCCTGACAAAGGAGCAACAATCAAGAATCAGCCTGAACCCAGACAGCGCCTGTTGTTTGCTTTTTTGTGTAGCAAAATGGTGATGCAGTTTCTCTTGTTGCTGTTTTTTTTATAAGAGAAACTTGGTTTCCAACAAAGCATAAGCCGAAACATGAACAGTTTTGAATGTGGCTCTTCAATCTTTTGGTGAACAATCTACACTAATATACTATATTAATCAATGGTGCAAAATACAGTGACCTTCATGAATTTATTATTGCTACTGAACAGTGACATTTGCGGCAGAAAGGCCAGTCAAAAGGCAATGGTTACCAGACCACAATAACAGGCTGTTAAACAAATAAGCTCTTGTCACTATTATTTATACTGGTATTAATGTATTACTGGTACAATTGACGCCATTGGTCACAGTATGTTGCAGCATGGTATAAAGGTAAGTGTTGAATAAATGTATATTAATACTTCTCTAAAAATATGTTTACATTACGTGAGCAAATTGCTGTGAGTGTTAGTAGGTTTAAAATTACATTCTTAAAACCAGAAACACAGATACAATGGGCTTTTTGGTGATTGAATTTTGTTGGAGGCTTCTTTTATCTGTGTAAATGGAACTGTGTGACAATGTTTCTTTCTAGTTTTCTGTTCTAGAAGACTTCAATTCAAGCATAACTGATTCAATATGATTTTAGCCAGGCAATTTCTCTAATGGAAAGACATCAAACTTAAAGGTATTTTGAGCTCAGAAACATTAACACCAGTATTTCTTCTTAATGTTGATTTAAGAAACAAACGCCAAGAAGCTAATACATTTTGTAGTTTTGAAGAGGGCATATAGAAAGTATACATGTATGTTGACAAAACACCAACATAATACTTGAGCAATCTTTTTATACCAAAAATTTGGATCATTCATGATGGTGAAATTTAATATTGCAATCACAATGTAGGTAAGTTGATAACTTAACACCAAGAAGTGAGAAATGACCACACCAGCAAGCAAGCCACAAGGAAGAGACTAAGATGGGCTGAGCATTATGTTAAGATGTTAAACTACATTCTATAGCAAAGGAACACAAAAAGAATCACAAAACTGGCAAGTACAAGGTTGATACATGATTAGAGCACTTTTTGTCTTCATAAGATGATTTTACATGAAGAAACAATATTGAACAACTGACTTTTCTTTGTTAGCAATCTCTAACATTTAAAGATAAAATGCACTGCAAACGACTTTGTCAAGCTACCACTAGTTGCAATCATGAACATGATTTGCTAGCCTTTTCCAGTAATAGTCTTTCTCGTGCAGTCAACGATTTGAACATCAAAGAGGCTGCGACATTGTGCATACAGCTTTGCAAGCCCTTTTATGTCTTTGAAACATTTCAAGGTTAGATGAACTACTCAAAACTACCTTGTGCCAACCAATAGTACCACATGCAATGTTTCACCTCCTGTGCATCTTGTATGAAAGTGAAGAGAGAGAAATGCACCAGAGAGCAAGACAAGGAAGAGCCACATTCACAGTTACCACTTTTTCTTTTGCAAGGCCAAGGAGTAGAGTTCAGAAAGAAGTGGATATAAACAAAGTGAAGAGGACACGTTCACTTTTGCTTAGCTGAAGCAGTGCAAAAGTACATTTCAGAGCAAACACTGAGAAGCCACTTTGTAGTACAGAGACACTTGATATGGTTGCTCTACTGTCTGATCAGGTGAGGTTCTGAAGAAAAACGAGTACTACACAGAAGCTTGACGAAAGAGGTGACCTTCGACCTTTACCAAAAGAGGTGACCTTCAACCTTTGACCTCACCTGGCATACTTGGTGCCCTGTGAGTGTGACCCACCCTGGCTGTAATCATCGTCATCAAACTCTCCCCTGCAAAATAAGAAATAACCGTAGGTCAAATGAAAAGGTCGCAAAGAAATGGGGTCAAAACATAAGGAAATGATTTCCAAAATGTTCAAACTTGTGTTGAGTTCTCTCAATCATTATTTTTCCGCTTGTTACTTAGTTATTAGTAATTACTATTAGTGTTTTAATAAAATCAAGTAGATTATTGCTTGGTACTTGGTATATTGTTCATTCATTTAAACTTAATTTAAAACTGAACCTCAAGACCTCTTTGCCTTGTATCCTGTGGCTTCATTGTAATGTTGGATTAAAAAATTAAAAAATTTTGATTTTCTACTAATGATGATCATCTCCTTTAGTTACACCTACTTCAGCATGCTAAATGGCATATATTTTAACAAAACTAAAGATTGAAAAGAAAAGTTGTTACTACACTCTGTGGACATTCTAGTGTTGAAAATATATACTGCGAAAAACCCATTCTCTTTGCCATTTGTTCTATTGTTCCCATCTATCAGTTGTTTTTTTCTGGTAAAAAGGCTGTCTTTCTGGAATAAGCTCCAAAGTTTGTCTGACCAAAATGAGAAATGATACTGGAAGTTACTGCGCAGCTTCTTGACCCTGAAAGAGATCTGCAGAAATGCATTGAGAGTTACAACAAGGCTGCTAACACATTTTAATACACTACAGGAGTAGTCCTAATATATTACGCCACCATTTGGTACGTTCAATTCCCTATATCAAGTACTGATCCTTTATTCCTCTAACAGTATCTAGTCTAAGGCTTACAGACAACTTGCAAGACTTGATGGGAAAAGGTATATCATGTTTGTTTGTGTTACAATGTTAGTTGATCCTTTGGTACTGAGGAGGTGCACAAGTTACTGTACAATGGTGTTGCCTTTACAATTGTATGCATATGATATATACTGCCATAATGACTTAACCAGCATTGATCAAGTGCTTGGAACACTTTACATTACAGCAACTGGACATTGCAGCCTCAGTTTTACCTATCCCCACATATATACAGTGATATGTAATTTGAAAATGACCTGGGTGGCTGTTGGCTTTAAGTCTACCAAGGACATTATACATAATGTCCTTGAGTCTACAGATCTGTCCTTGGGCAAATCTGACAATAGAACCTGACAACTGTGCAGGTGTGATGAGGATATACCACATATACATATACATGTGTAAGGTGGCCTGTGGGGTGAAGAGGTTTAGTCATAGATCAAACTTCTATTACCTGTGTACTAGACACTTCATACCCTGGCAAACTATATCATCAGGTTTAACCATTTTTGAAAACTTCCTTTTGTGAAGAATGGTCAATTTTGCCGGTCCTTGTGACCCCTTGTATAAGAGAGGGCACAGCGAGTAGGCTTGCCTATCCATCATACCTTACAGGACATGGTCTTGCATACAGCTCCCTACTTATGCCACAGCAAGTAAATTTTATGGTTGACATCCGCATTGATTTTTGCCTGATGTTGACAAAAAAATCATTCTCGCTTCAGCGATTACCTTAAGTGTTGTAGAAGTAACACTAGTAGCGAGGTAGCCTTGAGTGTAGCTATAGAAGTGAGACTAGTGTAATTACTTAGCCTTGGGTGTATTTGTGATATACTACTGTAGGCTATAGCTTACCACAGTAGTATAACTTTCAACAAAGGAATAAAAGACCTGTTGACAGTGATAACATGTTTCAATGTAGCCTCTTTTAGAACTTATTCCAGTACTGTTCCCTACAGATACATATAAATATGTAAGCTTCCTAATGGTTTGTATGTGTTTTGTATGTGTGTATTAGCCTGGGAGCCATCTGATTTGTAACGGCAACCCCAAAAAAATCAATGACAAATAGTTCTAAACATACTGTACATACACATTGAACCATGTCTCTGTTTTGTTTTCACAATATCCTTTAGTCACAATCTCTTTGCAGGATAGGAAAGGATTATCATACAAACATATTGATGCACTATAAATATCAGGCATTCATATTTGCTTCCATGCATAGCTGTGGCAAACACAAAATGCAAAACATACATAATTATGTGTTGTCAAACAGTCGCAACTGAAGTCACTGTCATGTATTGTTTATAATCTTGTATTGTGTTCAGAAGAATATTGGGCTACAGAGTAATACTGATTTTTTTTCTGTGTACCGCCAACAGCACTGTCTAGACCACATTCCCATACTTATTTTGATCAATAGCAGTAGCAAATACTTAGTACACAATGATAGTACATTTACATAATAAATCCGTCTAATACATTACCCTTTTCTCTACATGTACACACACACACACACACACATACACACACACACACAAAGATGGAGAGGTATTCTATAAAGCTATATTGTTTTCATATTCTCCATGCACTGTTCCTTTTCATTTATAATGGCTGCTAGGATGTAAGTGTAGTCTGCTGTTTTAAGTACTGCGAGTCCTTCTTTGACACTCTGAGTGAGTGAAAAGCGTGACTGCGTAGGCCAGCCCCAGCACACAACACCTGACAGACAGTACTCACTCCTTCATGCCTTGCTTCCTCTTGCGACTCTGCTGCCCGGTTGGGTCTGGTGACACCACACTCTGCGAGGATGAGGATGATGGGGCCTCCTCACCTGAAAAACACATCAAGGTCAACATCAAATGGATGCATGGTGGTTCTGGGTTCGAATCCCTTGCAGGTCCAAAGTTGTGAGCCTGTGGCAACTTCCTCACTGAAAAAGATTAATACCCAGCTTTGCTCTTCTTAGATGGGATGTAAAGCGGAGGAGAGACACACCTCATGCATGTTAAAGAACCCAATACATGTGCATTGAAAGATAAAAGTAAGAACTCATCCCAGTGTAAGTGGATCAAACCTATTACTAGTGTCTGTGATCTTATGCTTTACTGAAAGAAGTCATTTGGCTACCAATTCTCTATTGGTTAGAGGGTTAGGTAGCAGGGAGAAGGTTCATGACAGTACATGTACATGTGTACGTAGTGCCTTGTGACAGCCAAAACATCTACCATACATAGGTAAACTAACAGTGTTCTGCAAAACGCGTATATTTACCATCATACTATTACCAAGTCTAACATTGCATGGCTATATGTGCATGCCATTAGTAACATTTCTGTATGTTAATATAGTATATATATATATATATATATATATACAGTACAAATGTATCACAAACTTCAACACAATCATCAGGCCCCTAGGAAGAACAGCTAAGATCAGTATACAGCTATTCAGGACACCAAGGTTTCACATTGTATTTTTCCAACCACCATCTGTCACTTACAACCAGAGGTTAGAGGCTCAATAATAGAAAAGACAACGAAAAGTCACCCCGAAAGAAAGAAAGAACTTGTCATTATAGTTATGCAATGAGTTAGAAGTTTTCCCACAAGATACAAATGACCCTGGTGCTTTTCTGGAAAGCACTATATACATGATTGTGTACATTACTTGCACGATGGTGATTACATACAGGTCACTGGATTCTGAGAAGTCTGTTCAATGAATATAGAACACATTTGAACTAGAGTTCCACGATCTCATACCTTCGCCAAATGATGTTAGCTTTTATGATTAAGAAATTATATATTAATCCCCCTAATTATGCAAATAGGATCCTCAATTGCATGAATTATATCTGTTGATCATATTCTCCACCAAAATACAGTCTTATCTTAACAAAGAATGCCATGATGAAATTTTCTCATAAATTATGCAAATGAGGTCCTTATTTGAATAAGTTATGTTTAATTATGTTCACCTTAACTTAACTTTCAAACACCCCAAGTATAAAATTCCAGGCAGTTACCACTATGCAATTATAATATTTTCTCATTAATTATGCAAATTAAGTCTTCATTTGCATAATCGATATCTGCCTGTGTTTCTCTCATTCTTAATAACATATGTCACAAGCTTGAACTTCCTATTATGGAGTGCAGCTAGATAAATAGAATTTCCTCATTAATTATGCAAATTACATCCATATTTGCATAATTGTAATATCATTATGTCAAGCATCACTCAAGCTACCCACATACCAAAAATCACGATGATCCATCCATCGGTTCTTGAGTTATCCCCCTTTAAACATTTGTCCATTAAACCCCCCCTGCAGTTCTAGAGCAAGCAACTAGGGGGCTCAAACTCATGTCACTTTATCCCCAGCACAAGAGCTATCTACCATCTAAATTTCGTCACCCTAGCATGTCTGGATCTTGAGATATCAAAACCGGAAGTTCTGCTGCAGTACCATGACAAGCCGCCAGGTGGCCCAAAATCTAATCATTTTGAGGTCTCATCAAGACCTACCCACCTACCAAGTATCAAGACAATCCATCAAGACCTTCTCAAGTTATTGTGTTGACAGACAGACAGACAGACAGACAGACACACACACACACACACACATACACGAACGCCCCTGAAAACATAACCTTCTTGGCGAAGGTAATAAACATGTACTGGAAACTGACCCACGGTAGGCTGAAACAAGACTAGCATATCCAGAACAGGAGATACAAAAACATTTTAACAGGATTACTCTGCTGCAATACCAAAGATGCTAGTAGACCCAAAATTAACCCTATCCTTCGTCTTCCCAAATCCTACCTACAAGGAAAATATCAAGATTAATAATTTACAATGCATTAATTGCTTCTTGAGTTTTGCTGACCAAATACAGTACAAGTAAGCTTAAACACATACATAACACCTTTGCTTACAAAAGTAACAATGTCAATGTAAATTTGTAATTCCATGTCACGCAACACAATGTTTCACTACTCTACACTACTGTCTTTCTGGTACCAAGATTGATATACAATGTACTTAGATTATGTATTTGCTAGTTGAACTACATGTATACCTTGGGAAAATGAGGTCCACACACTGCAGACAACTGAAGGAATCATGATACTATTCTGCTTGAAAGCCGATGTTTCAGGACTGGTCGAGTTACAAATGTAGATACATTAAGGAGGTTCAAGATAAACTGTTAAAAATAAAAATGATCATGCTACACTAAAAGCAAAACATTTTACCTACATAATTTTGTATTACAGGGCTTTGCTTTATATGCTAGAATCGATTTTGAAAAACTTTTTCAAAGAAGAATTAGCATCATCAGATATCTGATCTGAATGAACGATAATACTAGTAATCAAAGCTTTGGTATGGTAGTCATTCTACGAAAGGCATGAACTGGCAAATTGGACACAACTGTTGAACAGCATTATGTACAATGTAGCTATAGGTATAAGTATTTATCATGAACCTCCTTACCACAGGTTTGCCATCAAGTCTGGTCAAAAGGATCCACCTGTTGAATTTATAACTGTCTAGGGTAAATACATTATTTCCAAATTTAGATGCTAATCTTTTGATGTTTATCTCGAAATGGAAAGTTCCAAACACAGGACACCTGATTGATTATTACTCTGTAGGAGTGACGTCAGTTTCAACCCACTTTAATGACAGGCTGCTGTGCAACGTGGGATGAGGTGTGTTTATTCCATACTATATATGGTCATGGCAAATTAAAGGACAGCCATTGGATACTAACAGAAAGCCTATGGTTTTTAATCATTTTTTTATCATATCTAAAAGAAAACAGTACTAAAAGATACCATATAACTGTCATACAATATATGTTACACACAATACAATGTTCCTTTTCAAAAAAAAAGTATGTGTGCTACAGGTGTACAAATTGAACTGGGCAAGCAAAAGAAAAAGATTGTCCTATAATCATGTTTCCCCTTTCCCCATTAGGTGCATAGGGAGGGATATCTAAAAAAAACAAAAACAAGCATCCAGTGATAGACCCAAATACTACCACAGGGGCCACAAAGACAATACAACCAAGCTTACAAATTCCATGGCATTTGGATTGAAACTACAAAGTGAACAGCATAGAGTTAAGAAGAACTCTATATGTCCTCCCTTAACTAGCTAGTTTCAAACATTCAATTTTATACATCATACACAATGTACATGTACGTTTAATAAATTGGTCTGGATTTTTTTGTCAGCAAAGAGACACTTCATATGTACACGCTAAAAGTATGACACTATACTCTATATTGTTCACGGTTGTTATCCATGGCCATATGCTGATTTATTGCTTGTTGCATAGAATGACAGGAATTTTGAATAGCTCTGCTACTCTATTATCAACCTTTGACTGAATGTTGAAATTTCATGTTGCATTCCAAAATAAGAAATATAAGCAGTTCATCCATTCCAAACAGTGAGAATTATCTACATGTAGATGAGCAGATATCCTATGTAAATCTCGACAATTATATCATTGAAACTCAGGAAAGACCGAGTACAAATGTATAGGCACAAGCGCAGTATATTATACCATATACTGATATAGTGCTCTCCTTGGTATAAATTATTATTAACTTGAAGTAAGAACCAAAAGCATAATAGTCTGGTAGAGTAAATACAGAAATATAATTGCCCAATGACAGATCCACAATAAAAATTTTCTCACCAAAATGTAATAAAAAAATTCACACTTACAAGTATATCACAGGCAAGGAATATTAAAGTAAGATTGTGAGCAGATTTTACAAAACACTTCACAATCAGATTCACCGTATAGCCATATTTCCTGAAGCCAAGTTTCCACAAGAAGGGGAAATGCAGATGGTATAAAATTACAGGCATGCATTTACAGTTACCAGTTGTCATGATAAAATGCACATAACTGAATCAGCTCCAGTAACAACACCGACAGGAACACGCACATACAGCACTAGACCATGGGGAAGTTCAAACTCACAAAAGTTCCCAGACTACAGTGGATTCTATGGGAAGACCTGGTGGGTGGTTTGGAGGCTGGGTTTGGTGGGTAGAGGTTGTAGGAGTGATGGTACAAGATGGCCTCAGCTGTAGTTGCGAGGGACTGGATTCATGCAGGAGGTGGTGGTGGTTGTGAACGACGTGATCATGGTGTATAAACAGATCCCTGGGTCAAACCATTAACAAGTCCCAACAGGGGGCCGCAGCATTCATGCCCCAGTGTCACATGTAACTCTTTTGTAGAAATGACTTTGCAAATCATTTCCTTTCACATGTCTCATTACTCAGTATTGATTGAGTAGTTTCTTTTTTATACATCTAAATTAATTCTGTGGAGAGAACATACTTCTTCTGTGCCCGCCCCCCTCTTGGAGCCAAAATACTCCTTCCATAACGTGCCACAGAATATTGACAATCAGCTCCAGGCCTGGCTGAACTGGTGGAACATGCACGCGCATACTAAAAACCTTATTATGACAACAAACACTCCTTCTGGCATACTGGCCTTCCATAAATGAATTATACAACTGAATATAATCTGACAGAGGCTCTTGAAAGGTAAAAGATGAAGGGGGCACATAAAAGGCAATATCAAAATATAACCCCAAGGTAAATACCTTCTGTTATTAACAAATTTTTCATGCTTAACAACAGTGCTATGCACATTGTAAAATACACATGACAATACTACAAGTCATTTTCAATTTAATTTAACACTCCCATAAACAATTACAACTCTGGTGTGGTACGTCAACCACAGACTATATCTAAAGGTTAAAAGGCCAAGTATTTTGCCTGCAGTAATTCGTAACATATTTGTTCCGTATTCAATACTTACATCCATTACGTACAAAAGAAAATACCTTTAACTCCCTGCAATTGCAAGTAACAGTGAAAAGGATAGAAGTTGGATTTTTCATGCATGAGAAAACAAAAAAGTTCATCCGATAGAAATTAGCCTTATAGTTATACTCATGACATAATACATGTACTTGAATGTATGCATACAAATCACTACATGTAAAGCTCTAAAATTGAAACTGGCAGCTGGTTCCTCCTTGTCCTGCATGCTAAACTGAGGTCTCTTGGGCCCTTCATAGGACACAGCAGAAAGCAATCATCACTCTTTATGAGCAATGACTGTAATGACAAGGGATCTACCAAGGGATGATCAAAATTTCAACATCAATACATACGTGGAATATCTTGTGTCTGACAAATTTACCTTTCATGATTACAACACCAAACATTAGGGTGGGGATAAGCTACCTTATTACACAGCTAATGAAATCAACTTCTGCTTTCTAAATTAATATATGATATGTCAAATAACAGTTGTACATGCCTTCGCCCAAAATAAGAGCAAAATTTATACCATATACATTGTATCTTCTGTTACATTAAAACCATGATACAAATTTGAGCGATTAACATTTGTTGAGGACAACATCATGGCCATATGTGCTGAAAATATTTAGACATTGCTTACAAAATAAATGTGCCATGAATGGCATTACAAAGTTTTATTGTTTATAAAAACATGCTTTTGTGTTTAACAGGATATAGAGTTAGTAATGATATAACATTTTAACAATGACATAGGTTACAATTTAACTGTTTTTAATGAAGAATGGCCAATATTTACAACTAAAACAGCATGTAGAAACATGCTACATGTATATTTATATTGCAAAAGAAGCAAGCACAGAGAGTCACGACTACTAGTATCTGCCATGACTACTTCAACTTCAATTCTAATGTTTCACTCAAAGTGTAAGCACCAAATGACCTTTTTCATTTCACCTGACAATCTGTCACAACTTCTCTCATTTCGTGTATAAATACTTTCATCAGGTAGGTAAATGATTGAATAGTAAAGTGCTTTTATTATTCACAACCATGTTTTTCATGGCCTCATGCAAAACAAATGGTTCTGAATAAAAGAAGTTTACTATGTTTTAATTTCACATTGACAACATGACAAAGTATGCTAGCCTAGCAATGCCAGAAGGCCAATCACTCAAAAATTGAACAGGTGCCAATTTTCATTAGCCCTGACATCCTACATGTCCAGACACATTTTCAAGGCCGTAATTTTTCCTAGAAATTACTACAACTTGTAGTATTACTAGTAAAAGTATCAATGGCTAAATTGTGCAGTCTAATATCACATTAGTCTACATGCAGCTCTTTAGCACCCTAAATTACAATTGCCTGACACATTTAGGACAAATGCTACCAGGAAAAGAAAACTTGTGGGTCAAAACAGAACTTCAAAATGCCCATTCATAATCATAATCATACTCTCTAGTGCACCTGTTTAAATTTGGCAGATGATTATGACCTACCTAAGTGCAAGTCTTTTGTCATTTTCATCTCCAGAAGCAGTAACTCAATTAATCCTTATCATATGGCCAAGCTCTAAGTATACTATTGTGCAGATATGGTTGAGACTTAAGATTATGTGGATAAAAAGTAATCTGCATCTGTATTGGTAAGTTTACTATAACCGGTTATGTATAACCGCCCTTTGGCGCAACACACCAGCTTAATCAATACATGATGTAGACTTAATCATAGTACATGCAAAAGTAGGTATCACTATAATAATGCCTTTGTTGGTGTTTCCATAGAATGTCATGTCAAACAGCAGTTTCAAACAGCCAACCTACAACACGCCATCTGCTGATAAATCATCTGTCAATGACACACTTCCGAAACAATGCAGTAATGGTTCATCGCACAGATAACAGGTGCACAAATAAAGTCCACCTCTTGATTATTTATACATGTAATTTAGTTAGGGACATGTTTTAATACAATCTTCATTTGTCAATGACAAGAATGTTATTTCTATCCTGATGTGTGCTACATATGTTTGTCTACCTGGAGAGGACAAACTCTTGTCCAGACCCCAAAATCCTAGATCAAGAAGAAAAGTGAGATATGGTTCTAAACTCCCTAAAATCACAAAGCCACAAGAGTACAAAGGACCATCAAATTCAGTACTGCGAACTATAAAGTCTTTCACTGTTCATATAATCATAGACTGACCTTATGAACTGCCAAACGAGTGATACGCAGCTATAAGGTAGTACAGCTATGTCCACCTGCATTGATCATAGGCTAAAATGGACCCTGAGATGTATATGCCCAGAAGGCATAAAACTTACAGTTGGAGCAACCAGTTCAACTTCAAAATTGCCAACAATTCCTGTACTGTTGAAGATGGACAATCTTATCGTTTACTTAGATACCAGACCCAGGGACGGGGTTTGCAAACACCTGTGCATACCTGTAGGGATTGGTAGCTTGTTTAGCTCCTTGAACAAACTGCTGGGTACATATTTGCCCACGTTTCCACACAAAGCAGTTATTATCTACACAACTGTAAGCCGCAATTCGTGCCGAAGGCAGAACTGTTCAAACATCACTAGCACAGTAGCCTGTACTTTGAAATAGATGCAAGTTTGATAACAAATACCCTTCATCTTTTTTTTTACCTGTATCTGAGTATTTAGTGGTCAGATACTTTCAATCCACTAAGATCTTGTGTCAGTTTCTTACAAAAAAAGAAAAAAGCTATGACAGTTGTGGTTTACTGATGCGATATAAACAAAAAAAGTTGTTTCACATACAGTTACAGAGTACTTTCTGACCAAATTCAGTTACCTTTACAAATGTAATACATGTGTACATGTATTATGTTTGGTAGAAAAGATACCCTTTCCAAGTCCAAAAGTTCATCATCTGCCTCTGCACCAAAAGCTTGTTGAACAGAGGAGGTTTTTGGTTGAACCAAATGACAACACAGCTGAACCTTATCAGGGTATTATCTTATGATAATTAGTACTCAATCAATCACCTTGATCACTTCATTAATACAGATAGGTTAATTGTCATGAATAGCTGGTTATATGGTTATATGAAGGGAAGTTGATAAAGAGCTAATTCTTATGTATGTCTATTGTCTAGGTTGGTTGGTAGGCTTATGTATACAGACACTAGAGAGACACTAGAGAAAAATATCTGTGAGAGTTCTAGTTTCTAGTTCTATACAATACTAAGCAATACCCCTCGCGGGGTCTAGTGCTTAGGGAAGTGGTCGTTCCCCAGCGTGACCGGTGGTGGTGGTGAGGAAAAAAAAAAAAGAGTTGAGACAATAACTCTTAGTCTCATATTTAGTTTTCTTAGCCTTTACACAGGCCTTCAACCCTGCAGTTTTGGGGAAATGACAAAAAAATGGCCATATATAAAAAGCGAACGATCTTCCCCCATCAACCTCTGCTTGGAGAGTAGGTTTTTCAGTGTTCCCCAATTGACCTACCGGAGTTAAAATTATGCAGCAAAAGGGAAGAACTGAACTGAATACACTAACAAAGGGGCTCTGATTGCATCCATTAGCTTTAATACACTGCAATTTGTATGCACTTCCCTGTTCACCATGATAACTTCTTTATGAACATAATACACAGCTTTGCTTTTATCTATGGTCTAATAAACTGCAACACTTTGATGGTAACATCCTTTTACATTTACTGCAAATTGCCATTGCCATACAGAATTTATTTGTTCACAATGTGCTTTAGAATTGGACTCATAACATTCCCGACCGCAATGTTACCCTCTTCATATTCTCGTCATTGTATCTGCACATACACATCATGGTATCCTTACCAAATCTTGACATCATATTAAGATCATTCTACTACAAAAGAGGCTTTTACAAAAGAGACTTTTGTTTGTTTGTACAACTGATAAAATGCCTTAAGGCATAACACACCAGTGAGTAAAAGCTGCTAAAATAGTGGTACCTCTGAACATTTAATCCACAACTTGTAGTTGGGAAGGTACCCCTACTCTTATTGATAAGTGTGGTGGGTTCTTTAACATGCTTGAGGTGTGACTCTTCTCAAACCTCAAACGAGGATTAGCTGGATCCTGGAGTAGCAAAAAAATTACCAAATCTATATTTGATAAGCTTTGTGAGAACTGAGAAGTCCAAACTTTCTCTTCTTCATACCATTGTTTACATACCAATGTAACACACACAGTTTGAGGAAATCTTACCTAGTTTGTTTGTCCTATGCAAGTTGAATCTGCATTGAAAGTTACGTGTATGTTCAAATGTGTGAAACAATGTACAGGTAAACATGCAGCCTTTTTTTCTCACCCCTGACCCGGCCCACTTCTACCTGTAACTTACACTTGAAAACTTGCGCCCCCAGGCGGCGCAGCGTCCCGATCGCAACTCCCACTCTTCTGATCGTCTAAGAAAACAATATAATCTAAGATAGCGGACTACCTTTTTGTTTACTTGTCAAAATATTTTGTCTGCTTGTATGTAAAAAATTATGTTTGATCAGACCGCGGCGGCGGGAAAGTGTAAAGAACAACCGAACAGCTACTGACAACTGGGACAGTAGTACTAGTAGACGTTTGTTTTGACAAGAATTTCTCATTTCGTCTGTTGAGTGTCGTGAAAAAAATGCCGTACTATTATTCATATACTGTCTGGCATCATTGACTGTAGGTTAGATATTTTACACGTAACTGGATATAATTTGCGGAGAAGTGATACTCTCAGTCTGAAACAAATTATGGTCATCCATCAGATAATGGGAGGTCTGAAGATCCCCGCCCTCATCGTCATAGCGGGACTCCACAAGCTACTAACCCTTTCGCCGTGAGACTTACCTGCACCGCCGCCGACTGCAGCGCCAGGTAACGCCATCGTGGTCACCGACGACATGTCGGCACCCTGCGGGAAGTTGTTCGCCTCCACCGTACCTGGTTTCCTCTCCGCTCTTGTGAAAAAGTTGGTTGTGATAAATTTGTTTTGTCCCAGACGGAGACGATGATGGGGCAAGCAGTCACCAACTTCCTCCTGTCAGCAACTGGCTATCCGGAACAAACCTGTCTCTGACGACCACCTAATGACAATCGCAGGACTCTTTAAAACCTTCCTAAGTCGTACAAGAACGCTAATAAAAGCCTGCAGTTGACATGAGCGTGACCATCAGCAGGAATCTTCCCCTCCCAGTGACACAAACGGCAGACGAATCTCTGTGCTGCCACACAAAAGCCGTCTCACGAGATTTGACGAGAATTCGCGAGATTCTGCAAGCATCACCGCGAGATTCGGCGAGAATCTACGAGACCGTCCCACAATGCATTGCGAGGGTACAGCCCAGGGGGTCAGAGCGCATGCGTGTCAGGTCGATGGAAGAGTTCATTGATTTGTGGTTAACTATCTGCGCGTTAATTAAAACTGTTGATGGATTATCTGTTTGATCTCAACAAGGAGTGAAACCAACCGCTGACCATTGATCTCCCTAAATCCGTAACTTCCCGGCCTTCAGGGTGCTGAATGATCATGGGGTAGGTTTCTGGAGTAAATTTTGCGTGTTGTTTCAGGCTTTCGAGATGGTCAGGTTTGTGTTTTGATTTTTTTTTTGGGGGGGGGGGGCATCGTAAAAGTTGTTTTGAAACACATAAGTGGATTAGCACAGCGTCGGTTGTCAATCTTGTTTTGCCCACAGATCTTATTTCCTACAAGTATATACTACAAATGTTTTTAGATTTCTTGTATAGAACTAGATAGTTATAGAGTGGAAGTTCACTGATTTGTGTTATGTGCATAATTTGTACCTTATGTATGACTCAGAAAGTATTCACGACATAAATACCGGAAACTCTCAAGCTGATATACCTCATTTATCAGCCAGTGGTATTCAGGGACCCTCCCTGTGGAGATGTTTACATGAGCTAATGTGGTCTGGGAGGGGAATGTAAACAAATGGTCATAGGTCTTGTCTTGCCCCTCCTTGTCAATTTGTCTGTGCTCATCTTCCCACAGTTAGGGGCAGTTGAGCATTTGTTTCAAATGGTTGTCATGATATTAATGAGGAAATGTGAGATTATTACTGCATAGACCTACAAATATATGAATCAGTACACATCGGAAACCATCCCAAGAGAGATCCCGAATTTCTTTCATCTTCCCAGCATAATTTCTTTTATGTCTAAACAATGGTGTTGGACTATAACTATTGTAATGGACTATTACTGCAGCATATAAGAAAACAGAAACAGGGTAGAATGAATGCCATATAAAAGTACTTGTCACCTTTTATGGTATCTGCCATAATATAACACTATATTCCTGCTTACAATTACATATTCTCAGATAAAGTAAACTTTTCCCAACTTCGTATAACTTAGTTATCTCAACTCTAAGTAATGTGCAATTGTGCCAACTGAAAGTGACAGGCTAACAACAGCCTGACTATGCTCCCCCTCGCAATACCCTGATTGCATTATCTTGTCATTCTTGCATTATTGCCATTAGATATTCAGTGATTCCTCGCTTGATCTAATTGTCAGCCATCTTTGGAGTGAGAGGACAGCGACAACATCATAACCCCGACCGAGAAATCTCATTACAGCATCATCCAATTGGGTTTTATCATGTCTCGGTTTCCCTTCCCCGACTTAAGCTTCAGAGTTTTAAGGTAAGGGTCGCTGCAGAGGCGTTCCATCCGACGTTCGGTGCATCACATGCTGCTGATTGGTTAGGATTAGGTTTCCCTCAGCGGGGAATAGTGTTTGTGATGAGCAGTAGTCCTGTAGTGTAGGTAATTTTGGTGACTGCGCCATCATGGGAGATGCCAAGCTGTGGCAGGCTGTCGCACTTGCCTTTCTTCGGTAAGGATGATGATAATGCACGCCTTGAAATTCATCTGTGTTGTGCATTTTGCAGGTGTAACAGTAAAAGTGATGATGATGATACATTCACCTGGTACATACATTTTAATGATTTTATATACATGTACTCTGGTGTTGTAAAAAAAAGATAAAAATATTGCATATCAACTCCATGTTCTTCTGAATAGGTATAAACCATTCACTTGATGAATGTTACTGGCTGGTGTATGTTTCTAGAATATCAGGCACTGATGCATTCCATATGATATCAATGCGACATTGCATTATTGCTTGATATTGCTTGTATTTCATATCTATTTTCCTGACCTGTCACTCTTTCATCTATCCAAAGTTTACTCTGTGACGTATGAGTAACTTATCAGTATGCAAGTGTAACATCCTTAACTTATACTTACTTGACAATTACAACAAGATCCAACACACCACCGGACGTTTGTCACTGCCCCTTTGTAGATCTGAGGACTGATATTGTGGTATATATCCCCCTGACAGTTTCCTCTTAGTGTGTAACAAAATAAAGTGAGATTTGTATCTAAATTGTCTAACATCTTTAACTAACCCGATGCCCTGATTTCGATAAGCAGAATGACCCTGCTTTAAGGTTGCTTCCTGCCTTGGAGACTGTCTGCTCTTGGTGTGAAGAAAACATAATAAGAAATTCCTTGGAGAGAAAAGAAGCATGGAGGTGTCATTTGAGATACAGATACTCATCAGATATAGACAGATACTGTCCCTATGTGTATGGACGCTGGGCTCATGTATGTACATGTAACCTGGTACATGTATCTATATACTGGGATAGTTGGTCGTGTGTAAAGGCAAATATCAGTCATAGATGTTTGCCACTTTGGGAGCCAGCGTAAGGCAGCGGAGGAAGGCCTTTTTTGGTGATTCGGATGATGATACCAGTAGCCTTTGGTGGCCTCCCGAGCCATTTCTTTGGTAAGGATGATATGTTCAGATTGCAATAGAATCTGGAGATGTAACTTTTTGTTTTTGTACAAGTTTTTGAACTATTTGTACATCCACAACTTTCTCTTATTTTTTCAGATTTGAGTTATCTTACTAACTCGTGTAAGATGCGGCATACAAATGTGTTGTAGTAACAGTATGCATTTTTAATGTTTGTGTACATGTAATTCCATGCAACATTGCTTGCTATTTTCCAGTGACTAGGAGCAACTTCCGAACAAGTGATAGAATGTCAACTAAGTTCAATTTCAGACAAAACATCTCGGATTATTGTTGGCACCAGATAGGCGAATATTGGTATTCTTCCTATCTCAGCGGTCTATTTTGTCTGTGTGTGAGCCAAAAATGACGCTAACTGATGATAAACCAATTTGAAGTGCTGACAAGTATGTATCTTCTTGGTGATATTTCATACAGATGTCAATAGTATGAGAGAAATAGAGGCTAGTCTTCAATATCTGCTCAGTCAATGCCATGTAGTGATATTGGAAATGTTTGTTACTGACAATCGCAGGAAATCGCAGGAGCAGTCAGCTAACAGTGTTCGTCATGACCAGACCAATGTTACAGGAGCTACATAAGAGAAGGGCTCTGAGCTGTTTTTCAATTTTAGTTATGAGTGATGTAAAATAATGTTGAATTGTGGAGAATATGAGATCATGAAGGGTTGTTTTCACTTCAAGTTCACTGCCATGACCGGCTGTAACTCCTTGTTTCTTGGCCGCAGCGAGCAGCCGGTGTTCACCACCAAGGCGCACGTCTTCAAGATCGACCCGGAGACGCGGAAACAATGGCTGCCGGTCAGCAAGCAGGCGGTGGGGGTCTCCTTCTTCTTCGACAGTACACGGCGGACACACCGCATCATCAGTGTAGATGGGTCAAAGGTGAGATCTGGTTACCTAATTTTTTCTTCTTTTTTTTTTTTTGGGTAAAAACTTGGGTTTATTAAATACTGGCTTGAGAAAAAAGGCTATAACCCACATCGGTACTGGTTCCAAAAAATGCAGTAGTATTCACACTCAAGCTACATGGTCTTTTTTAATTTCCTGTTATGTGTTATACTATTACCAGCAGCATGACTGAAAATAACATATATATGCAGCAGGTTAGTGCATGAAAAAAATTGGAGCTGTGCAGGTATTCCTTATACAATGTTTAAGACAAAAGAGTGGTACAGGTAGAATTTTTCTTGTGCATGTGGTTTTGAATGTTATCTGCAGTAGTGCACTTGGTCACATATATCAAAGGTCACATATACATACATGTACCAAAAAAAGCCTCATAGCCCTTTATAATAGTCTAGACCATATTCAAGGCTGGGATGTTTAATTCACATGGAAGGGTTGACTACATAGCCAAGTCATCTACAACTACTGGTTCATGTCATTGTCAGAATCACAGTGTTCCTATGTATAAGATATTTAGTTCCCCTTAAAGCTTTGTTTGGTTTTCCTTTGATGCCCGCTATCGTGATGACTCATTTTTACCTGAGCAAAGTAAGGACAGTCATGTAAAGTGCCTTTCCCAAGGGCACAAGGTTGGTGACTTGGCAGTTTTCGAACCCGGAACCTCTTGGTTCTGAGCTGAATGCTCTGCCATCACACCACACGACCCCAAATATTTCATGGTGGGATGGAGGGTTGAATAAGAATTTTCTATGGCTTGGAAAATTCGGGTTGTGTGTTTTTGGCAAGGTATGCCTGAAGGATCCAACCAAGCTTGTTCTTGTTCTTGTACGGGTTCTGCACAACACCCCTAGATTGGGGTAAAGCGTGCAGGGGAGCTGTGCGATGCGCTATTGCTGCTTCTTCAGGAGTTGTAGTACTGCAGCGTTGAACTTGGGGCAAAATGTTCCAATTTCTGACAGTTTGTGGAAAATATGAATATTTGTAGCAGTCTTTGTGAAACGTTAGAGGTTTGTATGAGTTGGAGTTGAAGTGTCGCGATTGGTGCGGGATAGGCGTCAACAAGGTTTTGACCGGAAGGGCTGTTTTTGAGTGTCTTGCTTTCTGAAGTAATGTGAGTCTACTTGCTGTGCGTCTGTCCTTTAATGTGTCCCACCCTAAATCTGTGACCAATTTGGTAGTGCTGGCATAAGTATCATACAGGTATTTGAAACAAATCTGGCCGCTCTTTTAGAGCTTGTACATGGTACCATCCATGGAATGATGTACAGCATGTTCTGATTGGTTTCAAACCTAAAAATCAGACAGGCTGAGTATACATATTGTACATCAGTTGCATCAGTTGCATCATTCTATCTAATGATAGAAAAAGTGATAGATACTGTTTTGTCATTCATGGGAAACCTGCACATACATATGTATGGGTAGAATGTCTGCACATATTAACAAATACAAAAAATAACATAATGAATGCATGCAATCAATCTGTTATCTTAGGTTTATTTCTAAGTTCCTAAACAATCCTAAAATAAAGCTAATGTACATAATACATTGTATCATCATCAAAACAATAGTATTCTGATATGCTCCAAACCTAGAAATTCTATTCACTTACCAAGAGTAAAAATCAAGCTGCTCTGTTTTATAGAAAACATTTATATTCACAAGTATAGTTCATATTGCATTATTGTAGCAGTCTAAATCTGTGTGCCATTGGATTATCCTTCTGCATGCATAATAAAGTGGCTTCAATGTATTTGATAATCTAGTGGCTCCCTTTCAAAGAAAATCTCTTCATATAAGAGCATTATGCATCAATAATTCAAGACCCCCTTTATTTTGCTGTCTGGGGCAGATGTCACATATTCCCTCCGGAGGAGTAATTGAGAATAAAGTTGAGAAAAAAAATCAATGAATGGGAAGTAAGCCAAGAGGATTGTTAATGTGTTGTACATGTAGGTCTTGCTATAGCCCTTCAGTCTTAAAAGAAGCAAAGAAATAAAGGATGTAGAGGCTGTTGAACCAGAACTTCAATCTGTTACTGTCTAGTGTTCTAGCCAGCGTCCATCTTTCTGTCATTTGACAGAATTTTGCGACTTGTGGCAGACAGAAATTTTGCCCAATCTGTCACCTTTGACCGACAAAAATCGGTGTGATATAGAATATAGAA